TGATTGTTCACTTTTGCTCTGTTATTTTCAATTTGGTAAACTCTAATGTGGAAAGGAAGGCAATGGAGGTTGCTCTTGTGTGAACTCAAAGGATTACTCTTTGAAGCAATACTTGTTGTTTGTTACTAAGCTACATAAGGTTAATTAGTTAGTCTCTCTAGACAAGTGTTCTTATCATATAATGTGTTCTAAGTTCCATCAAAACTATAGGATGACACTTGAAGTTCATTTCCACAGACTTGCTTACTCTTTAATTTCACTCTGATTAGAAAACATATGAGCTTTGAAGTCTTTTAACATTTTTGGAAATGTTAGAGGTATAAATTTAAATACTTGTTGCCTTAAGTCGAATTATGGATTGTTGTAGGAACGAAGGAAAAAAAAAAGGTTGAAGGGAGAGAGATCAGAGATGGACCTTTAGATATTGAAAGAGCTCTATGGAGTTGTATTACAATTGCTTTTCGGTGCTCAAATACTGGACTATGGGATTACGCTTGGCCCATTAACGGAATTTATGTTTTGTAATATCCCAAAAAATCATCCATATTCACACATACGGGACAAGGCCACACACGCTTTCACTTTCAAATTCACCTTCCCTTCTCCGCCATTGTTACTTTCTCAGAAGCTTCCAAGTCAACCAATAGAGACTTGCTTATTTGACTTCTTCTTCTCTTACCTTATAATCCTCCTTTTGGACTTTTCAATAAAACCGTCTAGTTGAATCAGTACGACTTCTTCTCCTCTTTCCTTCTTTAAGTCTTTCCGTTGATTGATTCCGATCTGAAATCTCTCTCTCGATTTCAATTTTAAATGAACGATTTGTTTTCCAGCTCATTCTCACGCTTCCGCGGAGAACCATCCCCTCGCCGAGACGCTCCCGGAGGAGGTGACGGACTTCAGATGGCGAATCCCGCGGGATCAACCGGTGGTGTGAACCTCGACAAGTTTTTCGAAGATGTTGAATCTGTGAAAGAGGAGTTAAAGGAGCTAGATCGGCTCAACGAAACACTCTCTTCCTGTCACGAGCAGAGCAAGACGCTTCACAATGCTAAAGCTGTTAAAGATCTCCGGTCTAAAATGGACGGTGACGTTGGAGTCGCGTTGAAGAAGGCGAAGATGATTAAGGTTAAACTCGAGGCGCTAGATCGTGCCAATGCTGCTAATCGGAGTCTCCCTGGCTGTGGGCCTGGTTCTTCCTCCGATCGAACCAGGACCTCTGTCCTCAATGGTCTCAGGAAGAAATTGAAAGACTCTATGGATAGTTTCAATCGTTTGAGGGAGCTTATCTCGTCCGAGTATAGAGAAACTGTACAGAGGAGGTACTTCACCGTCACCGGCGAGAATCCGGATGAAGGAACCCTAGATCGACTTATTTCAACTGGTTAGTTTGATCTTCCATTCAAATCACTTCCAGATTCAAGTAGAATCATCATCTAAGTTAACATATGATGAACAATTGGTCTCAGAATTCTGATTCAAGCCTTTTTAGTTCACAATGTTCTTTCAGATTGTGATTGTGAATAACTATAACACTTCGGATTTTTGATTTAGCCTATGAAAATGGATTTGTATATCTTATGTTGTGCTTGTTCTTAGTTGCTTAGAGCTGGAATTGATCTCTGAATACTAGACATGTTGTTACATGAACGGTGTGTAACATTGGGGGATTTGTGGTACTGATTTTGTTGCAGGAGAGAGTGAGAGATTCTTGCAGAAAGCAATACAAGAACAAGGAAGAGGAAGGGTGTTAGATACCATTAACGAGATCCAAGAAAGGCATGATGCGGTTAAAGACATTGAGAAGAATCTCAGGGAGCTTCACCAGGTGTTTCTAGACATGGCGGTGCTGGTAGAGCACCAGGGAGCTCAGCTTGATGACATCGAGAGTCATGTGGGTCGAGCTAGCTCCTTTATCAGAGGCGGAACTGACCAGCTACACACTGCTCGGGTTTACCAGAAGAACACGCGAAAATGGACATGTTACGCCATTATTATTCTCATCATCATCATAATTGTTGTGGTTCTTCTTGTTTTAAAACCATGGAACAATGGAGCTGGTGGTGGAGCTGGTGGGGGTAACAGTGGAGGAAATCAACCAAATTCAGGGACACCACCAAGTCCTCCTCAGGCAAGGCGTCTATTGCGTTGAAGTTGAGGTTCGTTATTTGCAAATATATTCGTTCTTTGAAAAACCTTGAATCATACCAGCTTTGTGTCTCTACTTTCTACTGCTGGTTTGTTGTTAATCTCCCTTGGATTTGATTTTTGTGAAAGAATTTAAAATTTGGTATAGGTGAGAAAATTAGTAGAACATTCTCTTTGTATCTATGTTTGCTATATGGGTTATTTTTACTTTTATGTGATTTTAGGGTTTATCACTTCTTGTTCTATTTGGTTGAAAGTATATGAGCATTTCTAGTTCAACCGATCACACAAAAACGGACTTAGTCTTGGCATTTTCCAAGTTTGAATATGATAACTAAATCTAGAATTTGATATTATGATTTGTTCTGGTCTCAGAGAGAGAAGAGAACAATGAAGATGATGTCTCATTAATATCACTCATCCAATTGTGTATAAGGGATACGATACTATATTTGAACTATATACGAAGTCAACTATATAAAACGCTAAAATTGTCTAGTTGCCTACTAGATGCTTCAGACAGAAAATATCAATTACTCCTTGCTTGGAAAACTGTAAGGTATGGAACATTCAGACGTATAAAGAAATAAAAAAAGTTGACTTTCAGTTGACTGATATTTTGATCCTAGTATAGTATGGTCAAGTAGTATTTTTTTAGAAGAGGGAGTATATTATCTGAGAGTATTCTGACTATTTAATTCATGAAAAAGTTACACGCCAAGAAATAAAATACAATATGTAGCATAAATCATAGGAAAGAAATAAAACAAAAGAAAGAAAGCGAGAAAAATAATACAAAATTACAAGAGTAGCAACACACGAAGGAGAAAGAAAGTCATCAGAAGATGTTTTTGAATGGGTTGGTTAGTGAGTCCTTAAGATTGGAGTAGAGGCCATAGAGCGAGTACTGCTTCAGATTTGCAACCTCATACCACGAATTCAACGCAGTGTAGTGCTTATCCGTGCCTGAAAACGCCAATTGGATCCCCAAGCTACAATCTACTTGTCCTCCTTGGTTCTTGCAGCTTTGCGTCTTGATTGCACATTCTTCTTTGTTGAGGCACACGAATTTCGAATCTCCAGAACATTTCGAGCATCCGTCTTTTTTCCAGAACATTTCCTCAAGCCTGCCCTTCTGGAACTCAAGAACCTGGAAATCACCCAAGATATATGACGATGACAGAAGTAATGAGAGATGGAAATTTTCTATAAGAAAAATGAAAACGAAGGCTGATATGAGCTTATCCAATTACAAGGGTGAAGCTTGTCACGATGTGATTGCTGTCTGCAACCATAATTGGGATTGATCTTGCAGCGTATTTTGCACCAGCGAATGCTACCATATATCCCTTTGAAGCATCCTGGAATCACAAAGTATCATCAGACAAACCAATAATTTCATAGGCTAACACATTCAAGACCTCTACTTCCGAGGATAAGCAATCGTATAGTAGGCTAACACATTCAAGACCTTTATTTCCGAGGATATACAAACGAATAGTGATTTCAAATCATGTTTGGGAGAAACTGTAAAACGATGAGGCTACTAAAACACTTTTTCTAATGATACACACATTATAAGTTAACCTGCTTTTCGCCTAATTCGTCAGAAACCAAACACTTAATCTATAGGAATCTGACAAGCCAAATCTCTGTTTTGAACCTCTCATTTCACTGAAACAAATGCAGAAAGGAACCAGATCATCCATGAACAGAGCTTAATCCTAAACCTTTGTTACCTATGGTAAAATTGAATCTATCAATCTAAGTAATGTCGAGAATTAGCTTAACATTTTAGAATTAATCAACAGAGCTAACATTCTAAGCCAGGATTTTGACAAGTCAACTAATCTGGGCATATGATTCCGATCTATACGAAATTTCATTAGGATTGACCTAATCGTCTCTAATCTGATCAAAAACCTGCAATCGAAACCCTAATTCACCAAGATAGATCAGAGATGAGACACGAACCGGACGGAAACTGGAGGAACTAGAGGTATTGATGGTAAGGAGAGTGATCTCATCGACTTTAGGTCTGAACACGGCGACCTCAGAGTTACCGTTGAGCGAGAGACGGTGACGATCGCAGGGAGAGTATTGAACATGATCGGAACGATTTGTACTGAAGAAAGAATCTCTCGCCGCGAAGGCAATGCCGAAAGTGAATCCATCGCCGATCGCAACAGTAGAATCTGAACAAGGCGAGTAGACTTGATTATTGTCGCCGGCCTCCGTCAATGATGACGTTAGCACCGCCGCGAAGAGGTAACAAAGAAGAAGGAATCTAGCCATCTGTCAAAAAGCTCCTTCCAAAATTTCGAAAACTCCGATTCATTTGGACATAGTATCTTCAAATATCATTAATCAAATAAGCCTTTTAAATTTTGGGCCTGACCTTATATGCGGCCCAAAACATAAATATGCTTTTATTATATAAAAATATACTAATTTACATAGATAGTAGTACATTATTATTGGAAGCCTAAATAATTCTCTAGAGTTTTCATATTTTTAGGAAGAAAAAAAAAACTCTCGATTTCGTGTTGGATAAGAGAAGCAGATTCGTAGAATTAGAAAATTTTTATTTTCCAAATAATGTTCAATTATGTGTGCTGTATTATGAAAATAGCGTCAAATCTGAGCTGGCAAATACAATTATTTATTTTGGTGCCAAGTGGGTAACTTGAATTGAAAATTGTTAAACAAATCCCACCTAACGGTTTGTTCACTGCTAATCCTATGTGGTTAACCACACCGTAAGAGATTGATTACAAATCTGAACCGTTTATTTAAAGTAATCATGGACCAACGTAAATGAACGGTCAAGATCAATCCGAGATTTCTTGCGATTTGAGAATCCCGATTCCGCATATCTGTCTTTGTCTCTTGCTTGTTTAGTCTTCTCGTCCTCAATCATCATCTGAGAATTCGCAGCTTTTGGTTCTTCGAGAGAATATCTAATTATCATCAATCATGTCGAAGTTTACGGGATTTACTTCTCTCGCTATCTCTTATTTTCTCTTGGTTTCAACGATTGTCGCAGCCACCGATGTTCACTACTGCGGTATGTTTGGTCTTTCGAATTTTCCCAAAAATACTAACTTGATTCATGATTACCCAATTGATTGACTTAGCTATAATCTTACGATTTTAGATAGAAAGATCCAATTTTGATTTCGATCCTTGTTAAGTGTTTGTTTGGTTGCAGATAATAATGAAGAGTATGAAGTAAAAGTACAAGGAGTTGATATAATTCCTGATCCTGTAGCTAGAGGCGCGCCAGCCACTTTCAGCATTTCTGCTAACACAGGTACACTTCAATATCCTGTGAGGCTATGATGACATCTAGATCTTTTGCTTGTTTGATTCTCTCGATTTAATGGGTTCTTTTTTAATTTGGGTTTGTTTCATATAAAGACACTGAGATCTCGAGCGGCAAGTTGGTGATCGAAGTCTCATACTTTGGATGGCATATTCATTCTGAGACACATGAGCTTTGTGATGAGACAAGTTGTCCTGTGGCGGTTGGGGATTTCGTGGTAGAACACTCGCAAGTTCTGCCCGGATATACTCCTCCTGTAAGTTTATTGACTTTCTTGGATTCGATCTATGCTTTTTTTTTGTTGATTAATTTGAAGCATTTTTGATATAATGACATGATGATGCATTAGGATCATTTGAGTTTCATGTTATTATTCTATTGTAGTCAGAACAAATGGCCTAGTGTAACCGAATTCGTTTAGTGGGATAACTGAAATAGACTGAGAAAAGGTTTAGCTTGGTTTTGATAGCTGATAATGAGTTCCAGGTGGAAGTATAAAGTGGCTAAAGTGAAGAAGTTGAACCTTATTGTTGTCAAGATTTACTTGTTATGATCAATATATAGTTATACGTTTGTCATTTTCGTTTTTGGTTTCTGCATATAAGGACCAGTCTAATCCTTTTCTTTCTCATAGGGTTCGTACTCACTAAAAATGAAGATGCTTGATGGACGCAAGAAGGAGTTAACTTGCATCAAATTCTCATTTGAGATTGGATTTTTATCATCCGTGGCTGACATTTAGAGCTTATTCGCTCTATGGAAATGGAATGTACTATCTTGTTCTATACCATTAAACCACTCTCATTTATTTTGTATAAAATACACTCTTTTCTATACATAATTGTTGATCAAAAACCCTTTGAAAATTATCATTCTTGTTCTCATTCTGGACCATTCATGAATCCCCATTTATAGAAAAAGCAATGAATTATTGTCTAGGTTTTAGAAAGCTGTGGTTAATTCTAGTTGCAAGCTTAAAGCTGAGCCTACTTTAACCAATGGTACATCATTGCATCCACGTTCATGGAACTATGAAGACGTGGCATACATCATCATTCAACCAAACTTACCAAAAAAGATGAATTATTTCATTGCTTCATTAGAAGTCTCGTTCTTCCTATTTTGCTATGTATTTGGGCTAAAGTTGGGTAAATTCAATGTTCTTTGTCACCCTAATTGAGCTTATCGGTTATCTTCTTTATTACTACAATGACACATCAAAGGAAAAACTTTTGAAAGCTAACCCACAAAGTAGCTTTTTTGTTCACTCGAGTACTCATTTCGTTTCTCTTATCCAATCTCATCTTTGTTAATCTTGATAAGGTTTTTGCGCCTCCTCTTTCACAATTCCAACTTTTACCGAGAATTGTATCGAAGATTGAAGCAATGAAGGATGTGAAGGAGAGAATGGTGAAGAAACTTAAGCTTATAAAATCTCTTGGGAACTTGAAGCAGGCGATAGCTCTCCACAAAAGCAATCTTGATCGCACAATCTTTCATCAAATAGATGAGAAAGAGTGTCTTACGCCAACAACACTTGAGTCTTCTGAAGAACAACAACTTCAACAGAATCTTGAAGAGCCTTTGTCGGAGTTTAAAGAGAAATGTGTAGCTGGAGGGGAAGATTCTGTTGTCTTCTACACGACAAGTCTGCGAGCAGTGAGAAAGACTTTCGAAGATTGCAGAAAAGTGAGATTCTTACTAGAGAATCATAAGGTTTCATTCCGAGAAAGAGATGTTTCGATGGATTGTTTAAAGAAGAGATGTGGAAATTGATTGGGGAGAAAGTTACACCTCCTAGGCTCTTCGTAAAGTGTAAGTACATTGGTGGAGCAGACGAAGTGGTGGCTCTGAACGAAACCGGGAAGCTCAAGATGCTTTTAGCATCAGCTAAGGCGCGGCAGTGTGAATGTTGCGAGGACGAACGGTTTTTGATATGCTGGAATTGCACTGGGAGGTCGAGAGTGGTAGCAGAGGATGAAATGTGGAAGAGATGCATAGAGTGTAATGAGAATGGTCTTGTGAAATGCGCTCTTTGTACTTAATGTAAATGCTTAATAAACTAATTTTTATAGTGTTATAGAACTTGTTGTTTTTATTGATTATTGAATGAGGTTTCAATACATATTTATACATGACAAAGGGAGACAAATCTCCATTGGGCTAGTAAACCCTAAAGCCCAAAAGCCCACTAAGTATAACATAGACCGTCAAAAGGAGAATCCTCTAGAACATGGACATGGGCCTTCTAGAATATGGATTAGGCCCAACGGTTATGGAGTCCATCCGACCATGCGGTCTACAACATATAGATTTTTTTCCTGTGTTCAGCAACATGATATTAATGTATGAATTATGATGATGCATACTTAACTCGGATGTTGATGCATCAACGATATTGCCTAAATCATTAATCTTATGTTTTCCAAAGTGTTAAACCAACGTTAACCAAAGGTTTTTACTAGGGAACACGCATGGCGACATTCGCACGTGCGATACACATAGATCTAGACACGTGTCATTCCTTCACTGGGCAGGCCTTTACTTTCACTTGCGCAGTACTTTCCTACTTCTTCTTCCTCTCTCTTCCGACAATAAACCCAGAAACAGTCTCTCTCTCTCTCTCTCTCGCCGGCTCCGTTTACTAGATCACCCTTCAAACACCGAAATCTCAAGGTTCGTGTTCCTTTTTCATGTCTTTTTGTGTTTGATAAGATTTTTTTTTTCTCATGTGTATATAGAAATATTCAATCTAAATCAACAAAAGTTTTGTTCCATCTGATGAACTTATTTAGGGATTTTCCTCTCTCTCACCCACACTTATAAAGGTCGTACCTTTGTTCTTTGTTCATAGAATCCAAAAGCTGACTAGAGTAAATTTGTTGTTCTAGCAAAAACCCAATAAGGCTATTGAGCTCTATATGCGTCTACAATTTCTTGAATCGGTCATTCAATTGCTGCTACACACTCAAATCGATAATTCTGTCTTTCACTTCATTGACTTAGTTTTCACAAATCTCTCTGTTCAACTTGTCACTTATGAATTCTTGTAGAAATGGTAAGAACAAGACGAAGATGAATTGGAAAACATATTCAAACTCTTTGCTGCTTCATCAGTTTTTCACTCTTTAGCACATTCACAAGTCACAACAAACAGATTATGAGTGTCTCTCCAAGCTAATGGATCTATATGATGCTGTGTCTAATGTGTAATTTTGATTATGTTTTCAGTGATATCAGACCACATGGCCTCATTTGATGGGCAAGGGTTTATGATGGTTGATAATTCTTGGATCCAGACCAAAGCCATTGATGTTGGATCAACAACCGATATCTCTCCTTACCTTTCCAAGATCCTAGAAGATTCCGTCTGGAATGGAAACCGGTCCATTGTCTTCGATGTGTATTGGGATGTCGAATCTGTTAACACAAAGTCCGAATGGCGTCTATGCTCAGTGAAGTTTAGCACAAAAAACTTCTGTCTCTTCCTCCGCCTCCCAAACCCGTTCAGTGATAATCTAAAGGATCTTTACCGCTTCTTTGCTTCCAAATTTGTCACATTTGTCGGTGTCCAGATTCAAGAAGACCTCGCTTTGCTTAAAGAAAACCACGGTATTGTGATCCGAAGCTCTTTGGAGATTGGGAAGTTAGCTGCGGTTGCCCGAGGAACTCCAATTGTTGAATTCCTTGGAACCAGAGAATTAGCTCACAAGATTCTTTGGTATGACATGAGTCGGCTTGATTCTATTCAGTCCAAGTGGGATGAAGCAAGCTCTAATGATCGTCTTGAAGCTGCAGCCATCGAAGGTTGGCTTATTTTCAATGTCTACGATCAATTGCAGCAGTGACTTCTCGGGGCAATGTCCTTCATGTAACTTATGTTAATTTTCTTGATCAAATGGATTTGTGAGATACCAGTTTGCATTTTGATGAGTGAACAATACTGTCTGAATAAAACCATGCTCGGCTTGTTTTTTCAGTCTGATATATTTTTTAAATCATGGTACAATGCCAAATGAGACAGGGAGAAATAAAACGATCAAAAATGTAAATTCCTTAGATACAAACTGGTTTAACTCTAAATCACATTCACAAGTTAGTTAAGCTAAGAGAGAGTTACAAGACTTGCAAGAAACTCAACAAAACGTTAGCAACTCTGCCTAGGCTTTCAGACTGGTAATCTCTGCGTTTGTGGTGTAGTGAAACTCGATCTGTAAACGGTGATGAACAGGTGCGGTCGAGGCTAATCCTTTCTTGATATCCTCTTGCAACTCCCTGATTGGTATCGCCGCCAAGAAATTCTTAATATACTCTTTACATGACTCCTTCCCTCTGCACACAATCTCTGATTCAGGTTCTGATTCGGATCCCGATTCCTCTGTATGAAGAATCTTGTGGATGACAGTTTTATGGTCGAATTTCAAAACGTAAGCTTGATCACAACCCTCGTAAAGCCTTTCTCCAAGTGTGTCAATGATATAGTAAGCTTCCTTTTCAACTTTGAGGACAAAGAAGTGATCATTCCAACTCACTATGTAAACATGCGGTGACGAGTCATCATCATAACTATCGCTATTCGCGGAGCTTTCCTCGAGACTAATAATCTCAGCCCAAATACTATCGAAAGACATTGCGCCTTGCAGAAACTCGAATCTTCCCTCGTTGATCATCCCGTCAGGGTGGAAAAACCCAACAAAGGACTTTCCTGGGATAACGGTTAGAGGACGAATCTTTGCTTGTAGCACGGTATCAAGATCGAAATGTTTGTCAGGGAATTTCTGCATATACGTTTCGTTTTCGCAGAGGTTTCTCCACTCTAAAGATCCTTCTCTGATCAAACTATCAAACTGAGACTTGATCGGCATTAGGTTACCATTCTTCTGAAACCAATCTGCAACAACCGCTACAAGAGCGGTGCAGGCACTCTCACCAGCTGCTCGCTCGCTTCTCTGGTCGATCGAAGCAAGAAAGACATTTGTCTGAAGCTTCATGTGTCCATCTCGGCTTATCACTTCTTTCTCCTCCCAACTTCCAATCGCAAAACTGTCTTCTCCAAACTCCGAGAAAGAAGATCGCGGATTAGCAGATGAATCTTCATCAATCTTGCTCTGCAAATAAAACATATGCAAAACTTGAGAACTTGATATATATGAACAAGATCTGGAAATATAGGACCGAACCAAACCTGTATCTAACTAAACTGAATTAGACACCACTAATAAGAACTTACCCCAAAAAGAGGATGAGCTTCATCTGAGCTAAGTTGCCTCCGATCATAATCAATGTCATCTCCACCTTCTTCTCCATTATCCTTCTTTAACAAAGGCTCTCCTTTGGATTTCGGCGACCTAAAGCTCAACTTCCGCTTTCTCCACGGCAATATGCTACGCCGTGGAAGCAGTGATGTCTCATATACCAAACCCGCAGCGGAATCTTCAGCGTCCGAGCAACCTGCTCCAACGTCGGATTTCCTGTGGCTATAATAAACCCAATCTTCATCTTCATCGCTAACCTTCGCGCCACAGTTTAACGAAGTTCCCGCACCATTTGCATAAGACAAAGGTCCGTAGGAGAAAGATTTTCTCACACTCATCAAATCTTCTTTGCCTTCATCAAAATCTGTCTCGAAATCATCAAGTGATTCTGATGATTCAAAGCTTGAGAATCTGCCTTCTTCTTCCCGGCAAGCCTTCTTGGCTTTCCTTGTAGAAACAAACTCTGTAAAAATCTTGACTTTTCTGAGACCAGCTTTGATTGCAGAGACATCCTCCTTTTCAATTGAGTGAGTTTCAGTAGGCTGTTGTGGCGAAGGAGACGGGACAGGCACAGGCACAACCGCGGTTTGTGCTGCCGAGTCTGATGTTTCTGGAGTGGTTCTAAGCTCAAGCAGGCTTAATGATACCTAAAGGAACAAGAGAATCTCAAAGGTCAAAAAACCAATACCGAGCCAACAAAGTAGAATGAAAGAGAGAAGAAGTAACCGTACAAAGAGCAATGGATGTGGCTCAGAGGTCACACAAGCAGAGAGCGTAAGAGGTATGTTTATATCGAATTCTTTTTTATCGGTCACACGAGCGTACTCAGCAAGATTCAAAAATGCAGTTCCAACAAGAGGAGCTTTATTCTTCTGCCCTTGCTTCATTCCCTGGAATCAAAATAAAAAAACAATATTGTTTGTCATTGAGGGAAATTCACACACCAACATACAGAACTAAGTATCTATAACAACTAAACATCGTTTGAAATGTAACACAATAGAACCTCAACCTCTACATAACAGGTATCAAGCTCTAGTTTCATGTCTTAGAATCAAACATTTGAGACATTAATGGGTACCAAAAATCGACCATCTACAACCTAATTAACCAATTCCAAAGTTCAACATTTGAGAATCTAGAACTTAAATTTCAAATCTTTAGATACTGATTAAAACTTACATTGGTGAAGACAGAGAAAGCAATCTCCCAAGGATAAAACAAACTGTCTTTGTAAGAAGTGAGTGAGCATAAGCTCTGAAACTCTTCGTCTTCCCATGAAACGATGTCGCTTTCTCCAACAGCTTCCTTGGTGAAATTCCTCTTCACCGACCTTCTCAAAGATCCCAATGTCGCCTTAGGACCTTTCCAACGAATCTCAACCGTTAATCTCTCTTTCTCCGGTACACCTTCCCGCACCAGATCCCAACCCTCAAGTCTCTTCACGGCTAGCTTCACCTCATATTTCTTCGTAACTAACGGCGGCCATGGCCGCCACTTCATCATTTTCACCACCATTTACGCAAAATTAAAAATAATTTGGAGTCGTCAAGCAAAAAAAAAAAGAGAATCTTACAGGAACAAAGAAACGTAACAAAACTCTTTTCAAGTAGTTGAGAAATTTAGGGAAACCTAGAGAGAATCTAGAACTTTTTTAAAAAAAAAGTTTATTTGCCTTCAATCTAGTTTATCTAAGAATAAAGATCAATGCCCAAAAATAGAAAGTAGTTTTAGACCCAGAAATCTATTACAAGAGGTTTCTTGTAAAAGAGATAGCTAAAGGAGAGATCAAAAAGTAAGAAATTGAAAGCAAAAAATAACAACTTGTTGAAATTAGCTTCAGCTAAAATATTGCAAAGGTTATGCCGTGAGGAGAGAAGAAAACAGTAGAGAGGGATAAAGTGGCGCACAAACACAACACAAGCACAAGCGTGTAGACAGAGAGAGACAACGAAGAAAGTGAAAAAGAAAGATCTCAACTTCACAGATCTGTCCCTCTCTCTCTCTCTCTCTCTAACGATAGAGCCAGTGACTGGCGGATAGAACAAACCAAACCGGTGTTAAACCAATGCGTGGACTTATTAACCGTGGTTAAGTCCTGTCCTGTCTACAACGGTGTCGTTTAATTCCGGTTTGGATTGAATTCTTTGTTTTGATCATTATCCCAACGTCACGGGTGGGGGAAGCGACTGCTTAACGGCGTTAATAAGTTCCGTTTTTTTGTCCTTTTCTTTTTCTTTTCTTAACCAATAGACAAAAAAATAAATTAGTTCAACACTTCAATTTTGGTTGCATGTGTTGAGAATTTGTATACCATGTGGTTTTGTCACATGATTCCTCAATTTAAATATTTCTAATCTTTCTTGCATTTGTATAATTTGTTCATCATTCTATTATTTAGGGTTTGAAATCTTGATGTCACATAATATAACTTATTTTGGAGCAAAAAACAAACATATAAGAACTTATTTGCAAGGCCTATTCATCAAAAGAACTTATTTACAAAGAGTATTTCTGTATGTAAGTTTGATTTGGCTTTCACAAAAATAAAAAAAGAGATTAGTTTCACTTTACATGATTAATTTATGCGACAACATGGTTCATGCCACTGAATGTGGTGGTCTCACTGGTCATAGTTATGCTTCACACTAAAGGAACAGACGGCATCTTTGCATTACGCATGGTCATCCGTTTTATGATCCCATGAATTTGGCCCAACGTACAACTAATGTTATAAAAATCAAAAATTTGTGTGTTACTTTTGCAATCAGTGAATAAAATCTGACTTTAAATTCCAAATGGAGCCGCAGAAAATGAAAGATTTTTTTTCTTTTTATATATGTCATGACTTTATATATTAGCACTAAATAATAGCAAGTCAATACTCACCCATCATTAGTATTACAATAAACAATATCTTTAAAATTCAATTAACTTTAATGTAAAATTTATGAATAATTAAATTAAAAATTTGACATAAAAGCAAAATGCCAAGTGGATCCCTTGAAATAAAGTGAAACTTCTTTTTCTTTTCGTATTAGCACTAATCCGCTAAGACCATACGCAGTGAGATAAGTTTTAGGAGGGTGTGAGTAATAAAAAAACAGAAAATAATGAAAAAGTTGGCACCTGCGTGTAGAATTACACTCGGGTGTGGAAGGACAGCTGTCGCGAAATGCCCAAATTAGCTCTCTCACATGCTTTGCAACTGGGACCCACGAGCCTCTGCCACCAATGATCTCTCACGAGCATTTATTGAAGGTCATTTTTATTGGTTTTTAAAAAAGTATCTTAAATACATTTAAACTATTAAAATTCATAACACACATCCTCCCACTTGTCCCATTGCTAATGCTCTAAGTAGACAAAATGTGAAAGAGTTTGAAGAGTATTTAATAGAAAAAAATTAATTGGGAATTTTATAAGTAAAACTTTGATAAAAGAAAAATCCAATTACTAGTGATGAATGCACAAGATTAAATATAAAAAAATTTTAAGGAAAAGAATGCACAAGAAATTAAATTTATTAATAAAAACATACATATGTCAATTGTTAATTTGTGAAAGTAATGAATATTTTTTGAAACAAAAAGAAGAAAATAATAAAAGTTTCTTAGAATTTGGGCCTATAAATATATTTGAGCCTGGGCCACTTTAGCATCTTCTTCATTTTCCTTCAAATTTAAAACTGATCTCCTCCGATTTCTCTCTATCTCTCAATCTAAATCCAAAAATCTATTGCCGCGAACAGTGAGATGCATAGCTCACTGGAGACGACGGCTCCGGCGACGTTGGAGCGACGAGGTATATCTAAATTTCCTTTTGAATTCGTATATCGGTAGCAAAAATCTCGAGTTATGGTGGTTTATAGTTTGGTTTAGAGCCAACTGGGTGACAAAGATGGAGAGATCTAATATTTCACTGTTCGCTTTAAATTGTGTGTTAAGTCAACAAAGTAATCAAAGATAGTCCTGCTTAGAGTCTCTTCTCTGTTTGCATTCTTGTAGAATTGTTTTTGCAGAGCCTGTGTTTATGAATTGTCACAGGAGTCTTGCTTTGTAAAACTTATATATGCAAAGACTTATATATGCAGTTTTACTTGGAACAGAATCAGCAGAGTCAATGCTTGGGGACAAACTGGTTTTAAAAGGGTTGAAATTTTACGGTTTCCATGGAGCCATTCCTGAAGAAAGGACACTGGGGCAGATGTTTCTTGTTGACATTGATGCGTGGGTGAGTCTGAAGAAGGCCGGTGAATCAGACAACTTAGCAGATACAATCAGCTATGTCGACATTTTCAGGTTAGCTAATTCGTAGTATCCCTAAATTATGATTAGCTTTGTCTTTAAGTTGTATAGTTATGATTTATTGTTGAAAGGATTGATATTGTTTGCAGCCTAGCTAAGGAAATTGTTGAAGGGTCACCAAGAAACCTTCTCGAGGCAGTTGCGGAACTCATCGCCTCCAAAACGCTTGAGAAATTCCCTCAGATAAACGCTGTTCGAGTGAAGCTCTCGAAGCCAAATGTTGCACTTATTAAGAGCACCATTGATTACTTAGGGGTCGAGATTTTCAGACAGCGAAGCACTAGTTCAAGGAACTGAATAACCCTCAAAAATTTGTGTCGATAATCTCTTGTCGGGACTTATATCCATGAATTTTTCATGTACATCTTCATATCCAAAAAGCTTTGAACAATGTTATGAGCTAATCTAGATGTTCAATATTTCCTTTCCTTTCCTTTATGTTCTTTCGGAATTGTCGTTATTGTTTTAATAAATTTCAAAGTGTTATCTTTTTGAAAGGTCTCTATATTGGTGGGATCGGTCTTTTTTGAGAGAGAGATTGTGTTTCTTGTGTTTGTTTTTGTGATTCTAATTAGAATCATTGCCCTTGATACCAAAATAAAAAAAATAGAAAGAATCATTGCCCATTTATGTGATCAGTGATCACCACAAAGATTCAATGAGCATTTTTTCCCCGTTCATGTGTCTGGTGCGGTGAAAAATAAAAGTGAAAAATAAACGTACAGAACCGGGAAGCTCTGTTTGATCAGATGGGTTTGGTCTAACAGGTAAAAATAAAAATTGGCGGATAAAGGAAAAATTGGGCTATGGCCCAAGACAATAGGCGGGTAAAGGATAAGGCAGGCCCATTTAAACCATTTCATCGGAAATCACAAATCAGAGGAGGAGGAGACGAAGAAGAACGAGCCCTAGTTTCCGATTCCGACCATGTCGCAGCCGAATCTTCTGAGATACGTCATCGAGCAGGCAACTCGCGGAGGGAAATCTGTTGTGTCTCGACGCAATTTCTCTTCTTCGCATTGTAAATTTGATGGTAACGTTCTCTGATTCCGCAAGAAATCTATCAAATTCGTGAGTGTAATTGATTTGTGTGTGTGTTTTTTTTTTGTGAACAGAGAGAGAAAGGTCTGTTCTCATGTATAAGATGAAATCGTCGACAAATAGACGTCGTTTATTGGCTTTTTTAGTGGCTACCTCTCTGAGCTTCCATCTTTGGGGTAATTAATGTTGAGATTATTCATTCTTCCTTTTTTTTTTTTTTTTTTTTCTGTTTTGAGGTAGAGAAAACAAAAAACCAAATTCAAGTTTGTTTTGTTTTTTTTTCATACCTCAGAATTTACCAAGAAGCAAAATGCTCGGCATGAGGTATCAATTGTTTATTATTGGTTTTCAACATTTGGAAGATATATAATGGAGTTGAAATACCAAAAAAAAAACTAAACTAGAGAAACTACATTTGTGCTTTCTCTGATTTGCAGGCCAAGAAGGTGCAGCTGGATCCGAAGAATTAAATCAGATCACTAAATGGCCTTTGATTTTTGTTCAAATATTGATTGATGATTCTTTTTGTTTTATATCCAACATAACTAATGATATATTCATAGCAAGTTTTAAACTCTCCCAGTAAGGAACCATTTTGCTGCAGATATTTTAGAATTAGTTTACTTTGTTGTAAGTGAGACACATTCATTGAACAAAAATGGGGTCAAGTAATGTTCCAATTCATCATCACCCAACCTGTTGCCATATTTAGATTCGAGTATCTTTTTTTGACTCATCATTTTGCCATTTATCATCTGTCTCTCCACCCCCCATTTATCTTTCCTTGCATTCTCTTAAAGCTAAGTTTTGAGACTTCTCATAGATGTATTAGGACATAATGTCTCACATGATCTTAAGTAATATATAAGGGATATGGGCCACTCCACTCATTGCCAATTGGTTTTGAGTTGGAAGCCCATATTCTAATAAGATGAAGGTGTATCTCTCTACCTCCACAAAAAAATTCTTTTGCACATTTTTAAAAAATATAGTACACTATTATAATGATATAAATTGATAGACATTGGTAATAGATTTCACTTTAAAGATTGTAATAATTAACAAATACTATTATAATTTACGAGTTTTACATAATAATATTTGCAACGCACAAAAAGAAATTAGTTGAAACATATCCTATTCTGAATCTTCTCGGTTAATGTCATCGAGAATTACAATAAGAGAGACTATAAAAGCAAAGTCAACATTCGGATAGACCGTAACCGAAAAATTACTCTTCCCTATTAATATGCTTTCTGCGGTATGTTTCTTGTGCATCTGAAAAACAAGAACAATTAATCAATTAACACGATCATACTAGCTAGTCCGGTTTGATAGACAATTGGACCAGTTTAATTACCTGAGCAACCATGGCATCAGATTTGCCAGCGTATACGACACAAGACCGGTCGATCCAACTTCCTTTCACATGGAAGTCGCATATCTTCATTTCTTTATTTTGAGCCAAAAAGATGTCAAGTTTTGGCTTCATTATTTGAATCATCGACGATCGTTTCAATGTGTATACTAGATCACTTTGGTCTGTACTTTTCCCTCTAAATACTTGCCACCTATCATGCAAGCTCACCTTCTACAATTTATATATATATGTTAAAAAGAGAGAGAGAGAGAGTTCTAAGTCTTGAATTTAAACGATAAAAAAAAAAAACAGAGTTTATTGGATGATCTATGACGATTGAAACATATACTCGGATGATTTTGATATATCTAAAAATTAGTTGATAGACGTATTGAAAAAATTGTACCTCCATGCAAGTTATATTATATATAGATTTTTTGTTTGTTTGTTAAATTAAAGATGTATGTAATCTTACATTTTCTCTCAAAGTCAAGATTGGAGTATCATATGCGTCCAATAAAATCCTTTTGTCGCTGATGCTAAACATTGGTTCTTTCACTTTGAAAAGGAGATTGCCATTAACGTCCGTGACGGCGAAGTTACCATCGGTTAAAGTCATCACCTTGCGTACGATTCCCAACTCTATAGGGTACGGTGCACAGAAGTTAGGGCTCACGATCGCCATTTTTTGAAGATCTCTCTGTATCTCTCTCTCTTTTTTTTGTCTTGTATAAGGTTGAGATTTGTGTTCGTTTCTCAATCTTTTTAGTTTATTTATAATTAGGATCTTCCGAGTATTGTGTGAAACAAATCTTTGTGTGTTTAAATTTTGTGTTTTTGTCTATATTTGTTGTGTTTATTTTTAGTACTTATCTTATTTTAAATCTGTTTGCCAAGTTGCAAACACGTTACCACACTTTATTTTATTTTTTTGGTTATATAAAAGAAAAATATTTTGTTGGAAAAAAATTATACAGTATTATAAATTGAGGAAATATCTTATTTTTGCCAGAAAGTAACTAGTAATCTATTTTCAATGGGAAAATAAACTAAAATAAGAAGGTGATTTGTGGTAGGATTAAGATTACTTAATTAACAATGATATGAATGGACCATGAAAAAAAAATTATTTTGTTGATAAAATATACTTTGTGTCATATAAAATCGGAAAATCTATGCATGTTCATTCATAGTTTTTTTTTTTTTTTTTAACATACCTTTTAATCCATTTTAAATACTCCATTTGTGTCTTTTTAGGTTGCAATCATATTTTATCAATTTCTCACATATTGTTCACGAATTTTTAAATCAAAATTCTGTAAATTTTTAAAACTTGTAATTATCTTCTTTTTTATTTTTTTTCTTTCTAAAAAAAACATTAATCAAAATCCAACCTTTAATCCCAGGGCCAGGATGTTAACGACGATTAAGTTAGATAGCCAAGATTTGAGCCCGACCCATTATATCTAAAAGGGCCCAAATAAGAACACACGTAAAGAAATTAGTGAGACAAGGTCAAAGCTTCTTTATTGTCTCGGGACAAACAACAAGGAATTAAAGAAATAATAAAAAAACTGAAAAAAATATTGACGAGAAAAAGAAAAAAAAAAATTACAATAGAAGTCGTGGGGTTCAATGTTCATGTGAATTGATTGACACGCCCCTAAAATAAATCCCAAACCTCTTTTTTTGTTTCTTCTATCTTTTTCCCGAGCAAGTTGTTCTAATCTTCGAATCGAAATCTCGGAAACGCAGTCTTCAGCTTCAGCTAAATCATGAGCAACGAGTAGTAAGTGTTTTCTCTCCTTAAGAGCCATTGTATCGTTTCCGATTTTACTCACACCGAATTCGAATTTTTCTTTTGATGTAGCGATTATCTGTTCAAGCTTTTGTTGATCGGTGACTCCTCTGTTGGAAAATCATGCCTCCTTCTTCGATTCGCTGTAAATTTGACTTGTTTTGATTCTTAATTGACTCCGACTCCGTCGTCGAGAATTAGCTCGTGTTGTTAGGTTCTCTTGAACTGTTTCGTGATTTTTGGATTTGATTTTTTTTTCCCAGGATGATGCTTACATTGACAGCTACATAAGCACCATTGGTGTTGACTTCGTGAGTTCCTTATTTATGTGGTTGGGTTTTGTATATGTGATCGAGGTTGTTTATTCCAAAGTTACTTATAATGTGCTTCGCAATTGCAGAAAATTAGAACGATTGAGCAGGATGGGAAGACGATTAAGCTGCAAATTGTGAGTTTTTTTGAAGTGGGGACATTATATGATATGTTTTGGATGATTGTGTTTACTCAATTTATCTGTTGCTGCTCTCTTTAGTGGGATACTGCTGGACAGGAGCGTTTCAGGACCATCACTAGCAGCTACTACAGAGGAGCTCATGGGATCATTGTGAGCAATCTTTATATTCGCTTTCTTACTTGCCTTTTTATGCTTACCTAGACTAGTGTTATGTCCCATTTTCGATTTCTTTTGTTAAGTGGTTTAATCGGTATCAATATTGCACTCCTCTGTGTACTCTGAAACATGTTTGTTTGTGGAAATAAGATTAATTTTAGTGTTGAAATCCACCCATTAAACTGATGAAACTTAATGATATTAATTTGCAACAGATTGTGTACGACTGTACTGAGATGGAAAGCTTCAACAATGTGAAGCAGTGGTTGAGTGAGATCGATAGATATGCCAATGAGAGTGTATGCAAGCTTTTAATCGGTAACAAGAATGATATGGTTGAAAATAAAGTTGTTTCTACTGAAACTGGAAAGGTAACCTCGGACCCATAATTAAGTTTCCAGCAATTTTTCTGCATTCTTTTTCCAGTTATGATTATGCTTCTTTCTTATATATATCTAGATGAGTTGCAAACATCCTTTGCATGGTACTTTCCGTTTCCTCATTTGATCATATCATGTGTTCCACATATCTTTAACCGTATGATGATATTACAATCATTGAGACCAGAAGTTACAGCTGTGAATGTAGATGATCACTGACCAAACTCCAAAAGCTAGATGATCTGATTCCAGCGAGTATAAATTGCTTATTTTTCAGTAGCTGTTACTCCTGATACAACTGTGACTTGGTTTTCTTACGTTTCATCTATTTAAACTCACTGCAGGCCTTAGCAGATGAGCTTGGAATTCCCTTTCTTGAGACCAGTGCCAAGGATTCTATTAACGTTGAACAGGCATTCTTAACTATTGCTGGCGAGATCAAGAAGAAGTATGTTCACTATCTTTAATCTTTCGCCATAATTAGGGAGGCTGTTCTATTACTATATTCCTTGATCAACGTTATTCATCAAAGCATTCTCTGGGTTTTTTTTCTGCTGCAAAGCATCTTGATTCTTCACTGTTTTCATGAAATAAACTTTTCATGTAAAGTTTTAAATCCGAATTGCGTTTTTCTAGACTTGGTGACTAATGGAAAACAAATCAACAAACTAACTGCTGTATCCTTGCAGCTTCCTCAAGCTTGTGTACTTGGCTTTCTGTTAATAGATTTTTCATATGATCGATTTCTTGTATATACAATTACTGATTCGGTCTTGTTTATGTAATATGGAGAATTGAGTCTAATTTTATTGTCTCTCATTTTCTTTGCAGAATGGGAAGCCAAACGAACGCAAATAAGACATCTGGTCCTGGAACTGTCCAAATGAAAGGTCAGCCAATCCAACAGAACAATGGCGGTTGCTGCGGTCAGTAGTTTAAAAAATGTTATATCAAAACTATCTGAGACTCTCTTTCTTTTTTTTTCCCTTTTTAACTGTGTTGTGAAAACCAATGACTGAACTTAGAACTGTAATATTTCATGTCACTGTGACTTGAATAAGCTATGGTGTTAGTTGCAAGATCCTTGTCTTTAATATATTTCCATCTTGACTTTGACTACACAGGCGATATGCAACACATGATGGCATTGATTGTGTGTAGGTGATATACATTTGTTTTTTATAGGCTGACCATGTTCATTACCATAGGATATGAATTTTAAAAATTGCAGCTAAGTCCATAGAATGAGGAAAAGCAAACACAACATATGAAAGATAAGACTCAGTAATGTGATTTAAATATACTTCAAAGGTCCGAGTCCAAATCAACTTCTTCCATTTTCTTACGTTAGTATGTGGATTATATTCTAAAGAAGATTTGTTCTAGTTCATCGTTATTTGTACAACTCAATTCTAGTTTATAACTCATCATATATACTCATGTGGTTTCGAAATACCACAACCAAATGCATGTTTTTCTAGAAACAATCAATTTTCTGATTTTGATGAAATCGATTCAAACTTAGATTCATTCATTTACCCCCACAATTTCTCTCATTCATGCACATACTTATCTTAAAAGAAACAAAAGTGATCATCTTATTGTTTGTGTTAGTTTTATAAAATCATTTTTGTCTTCTAAATGATTAGTACCGTGCACATTAATTCGAGATTAATTTTGTTTTGTTTGAATGATAAAAAAAAAAAAAAAAAAAAACAGAAAAGATCTCATGACAACGACACTTAACCGACCTGGTCCCTCTAAAGTAAAGTCTGACATAAACTCTGGAAACTTTGTCAAAATCCAATTCGTAATACGTATTATTGGTAATGAGACTTTTTCTTTCCAGATATGTTATTCCCAAGAAAATGAGAGAAAGTATCTTCTAATCGGGAAAGACATCTCCACGTTCTTTGCCCGCCTCGTAGGTTACGCATCAGCAGCTGGGTTTTGTCTGGCAAAGCTAAAACCAAAAGCTTCCTTTCTTATAAATTGCCGTACGTTTTAAGGTGTTCTCTTCTCACACTTCTTCACCACGATTCTTCTTGATTCCACAAATTCAGGGTTTTGAAACCAATCTTTGATTCTCTTTGGTCTTTGATTTGACGATTCATTTTTTTCCTAAAGTTGTCTACAGATTCAATTGAGTATGGAGAAGAATCGAGAGGTTTCGGAGTACAGAGAGAGACTTAATGAGACCTTGTCGTCTCCTGAGCTCGTTAATGAGCAAACTCTTAAAACTCTAGTCAGAAAACAGCTCAATGAAGGTTTTTGTTGTTGTTGATTTGCTATATACTCTTGATTTTTTATTTGCTATAATGGTTTTATATGTTTTCACAGAGTGTAGTGTTGATATATTGGATCAAAGAGTAGCTGCTTTATCCAGTACAATTGAGAAGCTTAGGAGTGTATCAACAAAGGATCACGACTCGTCTAAATCAAACAACGAGGCATCTTATGGTGATTGGAAAGTATGTTTCTTTTTTGGCTCTATTGGATAGCTTTTGTGATCTATTTCTTTAAACTTTGTGAAACAGAATTGTCATAATGTTAGCAAAGTGTTTTCTTGCTTACAGGTGAAACATGATGATGAAGATTGTCGTGTTATGTACCGTGAAGGACTTAAAGGAAGTCCATTTCATACATTGCTAGTTGAAGGCTGCATTGATGGGACTATCGAAGAATGTAAGTTTTCTTAGGAGTTTGCACCGCAAGAAACGGTTTTCGATTTGATTCTAACTGTGTTTATGCAGGTTTATGTGTATGCTGGGAATCATCATTCTATGAGAAATGGTTAGAGTTTCTTTTCGGTTTGTGAAATGTCTCTTGTTTGCGAAATTTTTCAGGTTTTTTTTTTAATGTTTCTATGTCTTTCAGGTGGCCAAAGTTGGCATTTCCGTCATTCAGAGTCTTAGAAGCTAAATGCTTGCAAAATTTTAGGATTGATGAACAGATATGTTTACTGAGGTCTGGTCTCACAAATTCAATGTTTAATCTTATTGTTGTTATATTTTCGTGAAGCTAATCTAAATCTGAAAACTTTGATGATATTTTTTGGGAAGAAAGGGTGAAAGCACCGTGGCCATTGACTGACAGAGAAGCTATTCTGCAGTTTTTCGTATTCGAATACTTTAAAGACGGTTTAGTCATCATCCTACTAAACTCGGTAAAACTATGTTAGATTTGGTTTTTGCATCTTAATCCAGTTCTTAGTGATTTGACAGTATCCTAAACTCTTATCTATTAGTACATCTTTAGATCGAAGTAGAGAGCGACGGTATAGCTGAAGTAGTGAATGCTGTGAGAATTGACTTTGTAGGCGGAGTTGCGATACAAAAAGTGACTCCGGAGAGGAGTTACCTAAGGTGAGTGTGAGTGAGTGATAACATATTGTATAACCAAAAATTTGGAATGTCTTTGATTTTTCTGAATTTTGAAACTTTTGTAGATTTATAGCGGAAGTGGACATAAAGCTGGACTTGGTACCTCCATCTCTTATTAATTTTATGTCTAGGCAGCTTCTTGGCAACGGTTTCAAACTTTTCAAGAAGGTCATTTTCAGTTTTGTTTACTTCATAAAAATCTGGTTTATCGTCGTTTTGCTAGCTTGTGTGATGTTGTGGTGTTTACTTGATTTTTTGCAGACTATTGGTTCAGTGGCTGAATCCGATGATTACAAGAGAGTTTTAGCTGATCCATTGTATACTCATATACATGAAGCTCTGTATTCTAGTGATAAAACTAATGAAATCTGCCAAGTAAATGAGCTTCATAGCCAACAAGGAAGAGATTGTGAAGAACAAGAACCGCAGTTGGAAGCTGATGACCCATATATGGCAAAAGAGAATGAGACTCGCCATTGCGAGAATGAATCTGTACCTAGCAAAAGAGATGTTCCTGAGATCGAGGAAGAAGAATGTGCTGATCTGAAAGAAGAAGAAAAAAGTTCTCTTTCTTCTTTTTCTTCTTCTTCTTCTTCAGAGGAGGATGAAAATGTCATTGGGAAGACTCAAAACAAGAAAGTCAAAACACGTTTCTGCATAAGTCCAGAGGTGAAGCAAGCTTTAGGGACATTAGAGAGAGTGATATCAATGGTTAGAAAATCCAAAACAGATAATAATAATACATCAACCTCTTCCGGTGAAGAAGAAGAAGAAGAAGAAGAAGCATCATCATCACAAATGCATCATTCAGGGAGCACACAGACTGTTTCTAATAGTAAAGTTTGTATTCAGGATCCTAAAACTGAACTTCTTGATGAAGCATCCTTCGCACATTATCACAACAACAACAGCAACAAAATAGCTCCTGCATCACCTGAGATCGATCTAACAACAAACTCTGAGGTAACAAGAATAACAGTCTCACAAGCCACAACTCTTTTCAGCCAAACAACAGAGAATAGTGACGACAAACCGAGTGGTTTAAACGGAGGTAAGAGCTCAAATCTGCAGAGGAAACGTAACCCGAGCTGCTTTGGTTTTAGGTTTTGGAGAAGAAGGACTTGAAATATGCATTGATAAATCCAAAGATTTTGTTTCTTTGAAGTTGCAGATTATATATATATACAAGGAAACATTAATAATTGTTTTGTAACTTCACTGTGGAAAGTGTTAAGACTTTTCAACTGTCTTAATCTTATTTTGAGAGCAAAGTGTTTCAATAAAAATGAAAACATTAAAAAGTTGTGTATGAATAAACCGAAAATTAAAATGGTTGAATTTAAAACGAACCGGTTCGGTTAGTGAATAAAGCGAAGAAGCCCTAATTGGGTAATGGGCTTGGACCCGCGTAACGGGGATAATAAGATAAACCCTAAGCAAGTCTCTTCGTCGCCGTCTTCCTCATAGTTACTTTAGAATTCGTCGTATAGAAGAAAACTTGAAACAACAATCTGAGAAAAGAGCGTTTTATCTTCTTGATTTTGGAATCTCCTCCAAAACGATGGAAGGTTCAGCTGATCAAACTACGAAAGCGTTATCTGAATTAGCCATGGATTCTTCTACCACCTCGAATGCTACTGAGTCTAGCGCTGGTGATGCAGCTGGACCTCGGAGTAAAAAGTAGGTTTTCTTCTGATGTTATTCTTTTACTCTCGATGAATCTTCCTACGGGATTTGATGGTAGCGGATGCGTTTTCTTGAAATTTATGTGTAGTGCTCAGAAGAAGGAACTGAAATTGAAGCAGAAAGAGGAAGAGAGGAAACGCAAGGAAGAAGAGAAGGCTAAACAAGTGAGCACTCTTCTTTGCTTTCTTCTGATTCGTAACATTCTAGGGAAACGATTATAGATTGAATTCTATTGGTAGGATCGGGTTTAGGGTTCCAGTTTTTGCTTGTTGATGAGATTTGATTTTATTGATGCAGGCTCCGAAAGTAAGCTCCCAGAACCAGAAGGCAGTGGCAGCAGATGATGAAGAGATGGATGCAACGGTCTGAATCTGTTTGATAATTTCCTTTATTTATCTTATGCAATGCAGCTTTTTACAGGTAATGTATGTTGGTATTCTTTTTGCAGCAATACCATGAGAACAGATTGAAATATCTTGCGGCTGAGAAGGCTAAAGGGGAGAATCCATACCCTCACAAGTTCTCTGTGTCAATGTCCATTCCTGAATACATTGAGAAGTATGGTAGTTTAAACAATGGAGATCATGTTGAAGACGCTAATGAATCTCTAGCTGGTATGTTAAACTGTTAATTGCTATTTGCATTAGTTTTATTAGCCGCTTGATTCTTACATTGTTGAACTTTGCTAGGGCGGATAATGAGCAAACGATCTTCCTCTTCCAAGCTCTTCTTCTATGATCTACATGGTGATGATTTCAAGGTCCAAGTCATGGCTGATGCAAGGTGAAGGCTTTGTTTACCGGATTCTCTTCTTTTATTAGAAAAACTTAATGCTGATTCACTTAGATTTATTGCCTTTTTACTGTTCCAGTAAGTCAGGATTGGATGAAGCTGAGTTCTTAAAGCTCCATTCGAATGTCAAGCGTGGTGATATTGTTGGAGTCACTGGGTTTCCAGGTTTGTGCAGCTTCTATTTTCAAGCTTAAAGCCTACCGCAACATTCTTTTTCACTGTTTGCATTACTTTAATTTCAGGAAAGACTAAGAGGGGAGAATTGAGTATCTTTCCCCGATCATTTATCCTTCTGTCCCATTGCCTCCACATGATGCCGAGAAAGGCTGATAATGTTAATGCAAAGGTAGAGTAAATTTAATGTGGATGTTATGATACCTTAAGAGTCACCTTATTTGTTTTACACTAACTTCTTTCACTTTTTTACTCGAATGTAGAAACCTGAAATCTGGGTTCCAGGTGAAACGAGAAATCCTGAAGCATATGTTCTGAAAGATCAGGTATCATCAATTTTACAAAGGGCTTTAAAGATTGTTATGGACTCTTACATTGTTAAATGTATTTTTTTTTTGTGGATCACTATCTGTTGCATGTAGCTGTCTAAAAATCTAGTGACCCTATAATTCTGTTTCTGTTTGAGTGGGCGTGTGATGTCTTTGTTTGTTGCCAGGAATCAAGATATCGCCAGCGTTATCTTGATCTGATGTTGAACGTGGAGGTTCGTCAGATATTCAAGACCAGAGCTCATATCATCTCCTACATCCGCAGATTCCTCGACAACAAAAATTTCTTGGAGGTAATTTCTCACAAGAAATTTTTTTACCTTCTTTTGATTTTGCCTCTTGTTCGAGTGTTCTTTCCTGCATTTGATATTCTTAAATTTTATATAGGTCGAGACACCTATGATGAACATGATTGCTGGTGGTGCAGCTGCTCGACCATTTGTGACACATCACAATGATCTAGATATGAGGCTTTACATGCGTATCGCACCTGAACTCTTTCTCAAGCAACTTATAGTTGGAGGCTTGGAACGTGTTTACGAGATAGGAAAGCAATTCAGAAACGAGGGTATTGACCTGACCCACAATCCGGAGTTCACCACTTGCGAGTTCTATATGGCCTTCGCAGACTACAATGACCTGATGAAGATGACTGAGGATATGTTGAGTGGCATGGTCAAGGAGTTAACAGGTGGTTATAAAATCAAGTATCATGCTAATGGGTATGATAAGGATCCAATTGAAATCGACTTCAAGCCACCATTCAGGTTTGAGCCAATATCTTCATTGATTAAATTTAAACCACAACCTTTGTAGGAGCTTTTCTTTGGTAATAATCTACTCAATTTTTGTTTTTGTAGGAGGATTGAGATGATAGGAGAGTTGGAGAAGGTGGCTAACCTCAATATACCAAAAGACTTGGCTAGCGAAGAAGCTAACAAGTATCTGATTGATGCATGTGCGAGGTTTGATGTCAAATGCCCTCCTCCTCAGACAACAGCTCGTTTGTTGGATAAAGTAAAATCTCTTGTCTCCCTCCTGTCTTTCTAGCATACGTAGATTAAGAAATGTAAATCTGAATATTGTCCCTTTTTTTTGCAGCTTGTTGGAGAATTTCTGGAAGTGACATGTGTGAACCCAACTTTCATCATCAACCATCCTGAGATCATGAGTCCATTGGCAAAATGGCACAGATCGAACAATGTTTTGACAGAGAGATTCGAGCTGTTCATCAACAAACATGAAGTAAGCAAAAAAAAAAACTGATGAGGAACTTGTTCATTGCTTCCTTTCTTTAGAGTTGTTTGACTAACATGATATAACTGGACCTTAGCTCTGCAACGCCTACACGGAGCTGAACGATCCTGTGGTACAGCGCCAGCGTTTTGCTGATCAGCTCAAGGATCGACAATCTGGAGATGATGAAGCGATGGCTTTAGATGAGACATTTTGTAGTGCTTTAGAATATGGGTTGGCTCCAACAGGTGGTTGGGGATTGGGTATAGACAGGCTTGCTATGCTTTTCACCGACTCACAGAACATCAAGGTCACTTTCTTACCTCCAAATTTGCCTCTGTGAATAATCTATTCTTTTTGACTGAAAAAACTCATGATTTGGAATATGTTGTCACAGGAGGTTATTCTCTTCCCGGCGATGAGGCCACCACAGGACGAGTCAGCAGCCGCTAAAGGTACAAACTAAGTGGTTATTTAGTTATAATCGACATTGTAACTTTTACCTCAGGATTGCAATTTAAACCTGGTTTCTTTAATGTTACAGCTCCTTCAACAGAAGAGAAGAAATAAGGAGAGTCTGCACAAGTTTTCAGACTAAGCTTTTAAAGATTGGGTAGTGAATTGGCTATTATGCACTCTGTTCTCAAGTTACTTGTAATTGCAGACCATAATTTTCAAAAATTATTTACCAATTAGTTATGATCAAAAACCTTTGTAAGACTTTTTTGCAATCGTATTTCTGTAACATGAGCTTACCGGTCTACACATACAGAGAGTAAACTAAAGGGTAAATGAATGGGAGACAAAGTAGCAGGCCGTTCTTCTAGTGTTATTGCCGGCCCTTATCTTTTCCACCATTCAGCATTATTGTCAAGTTAAAAAAGAGAACAAATAATATAAGAAAAACTTTGGTCCACTCCACTGTATTATCATATTTAGACCTAAGATTCTGATTTGTTGTCTAAGTGGTTGAAATGGTATACTGTTGATAAACTTGTTTAAGAGTTTTATACAGCTATTTTACTAAAGATTGAAGGGGAACAAAATAAGTCACCGATTGAATTGATGAATGATGATCACATAGAAAAAGTCAGACAGCTTTCTTTAAGCTTTGTGTTGTAATTGGGTCTCGATTCATAATAATATCTCACAAGACAGCCACAAGCCAACTCATCTCCTCTCTCCAACACATGTTTCATTATCGCTCTTTACCAAATACCTTTCTTTTCTTCTATTTTGTTGCTATACATGAATAAAAATAAAGTCATACCTTTCACTATTAATATAATGATATTATTACACCCAATCGAAATGGAGATTACTTGCCACATAATACTAGGAAAATTACTCAGTTATTACATCAAGTTATAAATTTTGTTTGTTTGTTTATTATATAAATGATATAAGGATGTTACTATTCCCAATTAGGTGGAATTCATTCACAAATAAAGGGCCAAGTAGAGAAGAAAGTGTGTATAATATTTTTTTGTTGTATACCGCGGGTCACATGCGTTGTATCTAAAATAAAAAATTTTAAGTTGTATTTGTTTTGTTTAGTGTTTAAGATTGTATAATTGTATTTTGATTTGTTATTTATAGGATTTCACCTGTGGTATATTGTCTCGTATTAATATTGACCCAAACCCGTCCAACCATATAATCTAAAATGAAATTAAACATCATTTTGTTATTTTTTTAATAACACTTTTATTTAAATGTCATATAATTCGAGTTAATTTGAAAGTTGCTTTTAAATAGTTTCCATGTATATTTTTAAATTAGTGTGTGTTTTTGGACCAACCCGTAAAAACAATTTATAATTGTATCTTAAAATACTAATTAGGATTTCACCCGTGATTTACTGTCCCATTTTAGATAATTGTAAAAATTAAAGAAAGATCCGAATGACTCAATTTCGGGTCTGAATAAAATAACGACATGATTAAATGCTCAATTTGTTCTTAAAAATGTTAATATAGATTACACACATATTTTTATTCATCGATTGAGTAATATATGTCCGTTTTTAAAAATTTGAATTGTAACATATGCAGAAAAAAAAAACTAAAATTTACTAACTATTTATATATTTTATAATAATTTAAAATAATATAAATATAAGATCAAATAAAAGTGAAATAAGAATCATATATTTATGTTTAAATTAGGTAGAGATGTTTTAGGAAATTAGTGCAAATTTGTTATATTAGCATTAAATCATCATATTTGATTTCTTTATCTATAAAAATCGTAGAGAATATACCATAAATAAAGCGTTTAAATATAGTAATTAGTTGAGAAAGTATATATATTTTAGATTTTATTAATTATTTTCGTTTTTTAATTTTGCCAAAATTTAAAGAAAGATCCGATTGAAGATTTCCGGGTCAAAATTAAACAAATTTGACCCGATTTGGGTACCCCAAAAACTGCTGCAAAAATGTATAGTAGATGATATAAGGATGTTACTATTCCCAATTAGGTGGAATTCATTCACAAATAAAGGGCCAAGTAGAGAAGAAAGAAAGTGGTGGTGGGTTCTCAAGTCTTTTTCTTTTGTTCCCCACTTTATGATTCATTTTTCATACACCAAATCAATTGAAAAAATGAGTTCATATATCTAATTACAGTATTTATAACCCCAAAATCAAAACCCCACCCAAAAAATATTTTTTTATATAAGAAAAAAAAAAACCCAACAAACCCTTTTTCATATTCCATTGAAGGATATGCTTTTGAAGTTTTGGACATTGATGTTATTCCTCTCTTGTTTTTGTTTTTTTTTGCTCTTCCTCCAAATCTTTCATTCTTCTCCAAAGAACCTGCAAGCAACAACATGAAAACTATGAATACACTTGTTGTCAACAATCATTCAAAGCAATTAAAGATCGTGAGATCATTACCGTGAATCCTAACCTTTTGTATGTGTTTTACAATAACACTTGAGAGATTTTTCTACAATAATCTCTTCGGGTTTGCGAATCCATCAGCATCTACTTAGATATGAGTCCTTGCCAATAGCTCCAAGCATTCTACATGCTACTTCCAGCAACTTCCCTGTTTAATTTTCCATCATTAGTTAAATAAGAAACTTTAATCATTAAGTCATGATCACAATCAATTAATCCCAATCACAAACACAATCTCCTGTCACCTAATTAAAATATTTCAGGAAAAAGCTAAAACCCAATAATTTAATTAACCAATATAATAAGGGAAGTTTGTAAACGTGAGAAGATGCTTTAGGTAATGAATGTGAAGAAGCTTCTAATGATTCTTTCTTCTGTTTGAAATATCCTCACAAATCTTCATTTCTATTAGTTCTCACCGGAATTATCCTTCGACCGACCCATTTCGCCGGAGATTATATGAATAAAATCACAATTCACGCAACCACAAACCCAAAAACTATAACTTGTACCCTCAAAACCGTGTAACATGACACAATTATAAACCTAACTAGTCACTCACAAGTCACAAGTCGCAATGGTAATGTTATAAGAAATGTGATGAACCTAAATTAGATCATATCACCTATAACTAATGTTACCGAATCTATAAACAATAAACACACAACACAACTGAATCAAACAAAAGATGAATCAAACGTACCTCTTCTTGGCTGAACAACTTTCTTAACCGGACCGGTCGTTTTCTTAACCGTCTCTTCTTCCTTCTCCTCCGGGAACAAAACACCATCAATCCCCTGAACTGAAATTCGACCGTCTGTGTAAATATCCGGATCAAAGAGATACGCCGACCGATCACCAGAACCGAACTTAACGGAGCCATCGGCTTCTTTAGCCCCAACCTTGTGAGGAAAACGCAGCGTTTCATACTTCACCTTCCCAAATCTCCTAACCGAATTATACATACTCTCCTCCGTTTGATACTCCGGTATAATGTGATAATACATAATTTGCTCCGGAGCTCCGGGCTCGCTAAGCTGATCAGTCGTCAATTTCGCCATAGCTTCGTCATTAGGAGCTAACACGGTGAGGACGTAACCTTCCGACACTAATCGACCCATCTCCGTCGCCAGTGACGTCAGATTTACCAGAATATCGGCCATTTCGTTGTATCCGCCGTAATGTAACAATGTGTGGATGAAATCTTTGACCTGAGCATCGCCGTTGAAGTGTTTGTGCGCACCTCCTGGTCCCGGAGCCGGAGCCGGGGCTAGCGACGGACCTGGAGCCATAGCGGATTCAATCGGAAGCGCTGGTGGAGATCCGGCGGGTACTGAGGCGGCGGCGGCGGATTTCTTGAGACGGTTGGTTCTCGGATCGATTTCCGGAGCTCCTTCGGGTAATACGGCGGAGATTGATCGGAGATTTCTCCGTCGGTTGAAATCTTCTTGAACGGAGCGAGGAATTAAAAGCCGTTCGATTCCGTGGATCAACCCGTCGGGTCGGGTCAAATCATCGGGTCGGGTAATTACAGCGGAATTCACCAATCTCTTTCCATTCGCTCCTTTGATTTTACTCAAATGCAGCACTTGGTCATGCCCTAACGTGACGTGTTTGACCCGACCCGAATTATCCTCAGGCCATTGGTTTGAACCGACTCGTTTAGGGATAATGTGAGACAAAAGAAGCGTTTGGAGAGATTTGAGGTTACCTGGTTGGAGCAAGAACCGTTTAAAATCCGGGTCAAGGTCACGCTCGAGTGCTTCATTGCGAGGAGCAAAAATAGTAATATTGTGACGACCAACGGCGTCTTCGAGGGTTTGGAGAAGAAGAGCCTTCTCAACGAGCTCGGCGAGTTCAGTGTAACGAGAGTCGAGGAGAGCAACGAGGACGGAGTTTGAGTTGATTTGACCCGACCCGGTTATGTTGTGGTGACCCGATTCGAGAGCAGATGCATTGATCAGGAAGCAGAAGAAGATAGTAATGACGGAGCAACCATAGATACAACGATCCATGGTGCTCTGTAAGATTTAGATAATCTGTAGAAGAAGGAATTAAGAGGGAAAAATGTTTTTTTTGAAGAATTTACTATGTTTTTTCTCTGTTTGGTGATCGGAAAGTGGGGAGTGAGAGACAGAGAAGAGAGATAGAGATAGATGTGAGTTTTGGGGGTGGTCTGTGTTGTTTGTGTATCAAAACAGGTTTGGGTTTTCGGACAGGCTGGTGGTGGGGACTACACGGTGTCTGAATAAAACATTTAATTATTTTAGCTCTGACTTTTTTTGGCTTTCTTTTATAAATCTCTCGGCTCAGCTCGGCTAAATCTTTTTATTTATTTATTGATCATTGTATAAACAAACACCACTTTGTTTTTGTCTTTTATTGATAAACTATTTTTTTAATAAATGAAAGTAGTATTACTATTTCAGAACAACAAGCTCTGCTCTTTATATTAATTAAACACTTCAGATGGAATTCTACTTATGCAAAGTGAATAACTATTCATTTTTGATCCGTGATATAGGTATCAAATGGTCATGCGCAACAATTCGAATGTTCATAGTAATATTCTAAAACATTAAAGAATTTGATCTCAAATATATAAAAATCGTCATATCAATTTCAGAAAACCATAATATCACTATTGAATATATGCTTTTGACATGATGAATAAAGAAGTAATTGCGCTTTTGAAATTAAAAAAATATTCGGAAGCAAATTATTATTATATGCCTGGAATTGAATATATACGGTAGAGTGAAAGTGATGGTGTATGTATTGGTCTGTGAACTTTTCCTTGAAGAAGGACTAAGACAATCAGCGAGTACTAGATGATAGAAAAGAGATGGTAGGTAG